TTTATGTTTAGTTTAATTTAGAAATTTGATGCAGGTAAACTTGTATTTGACTAGTTTCAACTTCTTTGATTATTTTTCAACCTGTTCTGTCAATTTTTAAGTCAAAATGTCAACATTTGATATCCACGTTTAAAGAAGCCGTCCCGTCGATTTTTCATTCAATCTGAATATTTGATAGCCGAACTTAAAAGAACTCCTGTTGTTTTAGGCAAAAAATCAACATTTGATCGCCACATTTAAAGCCGCTATTCCGTCAATGTTAAAGTCTGAACTGTATAGGATCGCCACTCTTAAAGGAGTTGTTCCGTCATTTTTTCATCTAATTTGAATACTTGATAACCGAGCTTAACAGAACTCTCCCGTGAATCTAAGGTCAAAACTGAACATTTGATAGCGACATTTGAAAGCTCACGAATAATATTAGCCACATAATGGGTTAAAGGGAAATCACTCAATATTTCTATTGATTCAGACAACAAGTAAACCATTATATTAATTCGAATTACTGTCTTACAATACGGTACACGAATATTTAGATAACGAAATCCTATATCCCAAAATTCTCGGCTATTCGTTTACTTTCACTTTCCGACCAGAATACATTTATCATATATATTTATTTGCGTTCTCCGACAAAGCTATGTCAAAATCGCAGTATCACATGTATACGAATAAGGAATATAATATTCAAAGATCAAAGAGCTTTTTGGGTATCTGTAGTCTTTATTAGAAAGAAATTTCGACATCTTGTTCGTATGTGATTTATTAAAAACATTATCTGACCAATGATTAACCGAGGTCCAAATTACTGTTGCTTTAGTTTATGTGTGTACATTTGAGTAAGTAGACCAGCCCATGTCACACCAGTCATTTCCGCTTCCGGTTAGAGTTTATCGAAAATAATAATCTTAAAAAATTTCATATTTTTGGCAGATTTATGCAGTTTTGAGAACATCAGGTTTGTTATTTCTTTGTAAACATCAAAATCAACATGTCTACGACACAATGCATAGAATTTTGCAGGAAGATATGGGCGGAAAACGTGAGTGTTTGACGTTTGAATATAACACATTCGCTAAGTATTATCATGGCGACAGAACTCGATGTGCTGAAACAAGTCTAAGATAGCCTTCGACCAGCGTATTTCAAATGAAATTCAAATGTTTTAAACTGAACATCTAAAAGAATGAATTTAGATTCGATTGTTGTTGTTTAGGGCAAGTCACTTTCTTTCCCCCCCCTGTCTTGTCTTAAAGTTGACCCATAGCCTATATATAGCCTTGTCAAAATGTCATAAGTCAAGCATTTTTATGCTCAATTATTTGTTAATTCCCTGATTTGACTGAAATCTATTTTGACAGATGAATTTCTGTGTAGTGATGTCATCACTTTATGTGTAAAATTGTAAACGGACAGTACTCTCTGGCCACATTGAGTTCTAAATTGAATTTTTTCACTCGTGTCACAAACATTCAAAATATGATTTTTAAGTAGAATATCTATGGGTCCATGAATAAATACGTTTTGAAAATTTTGCACTTGAAATGAACACACTTCTCTCCAAGAAATTTCATGTGAAAATGACACATTTTGAACTGAAAATCTCCCTCTGTAAAATCATAGTTTCAAATAAGTTTGTTTTCAATGGTTGGCATTTTCATCAACCAAAAGACAATCTTCTAAGACTCTCAGCAATATTTGGAGGTTAATATTTCAATTCATACAAAAATGATTGCCAAAATGTGATTTAGAACCTGATGTGGCCAGAGAGTAGCTTTCTTGTCAATGCAATGAATTCAAACCCCTAGTGTAAAAACAGCTCAACACGATTAATTTTTGTTCAAGGGATTATAAGCTTATATAGTAGGAAGTCACTGGGACGTCTGCTTCACAAAGTCATGTGACTGTCATAATGTTATTTATTTAAGAATTTCAAGTTGTCAAGGTAATGCTGGTTCTTAGATTTTGTAAAGAACAGAATCAGTCTATATTCTTTTAAAACAGATATTTTGAATTCTGATGCTTATAAGCTTATTTATTTTTTCTTCTTTTTGATTTTTGATCAACAGTAACTGAATTTACCTTAATGTTCGATAATTTGTATTGAGACTCAGTTATAATCATATTGTTATAATACCCATCAAAATAGTTGACATAGTTGACACTTCATGAAATTTGATTTCTGTTTAATACAAGCATTTTACCCACTAATAGCTGGTTTGTTCAGCTCCTAGAGTAAGAGTATATCTCAAGTCTGTCAATTGTAATTGTAGTGTTAGACGAGTCTCAATGAAAGCACTGGCCAAGGTCACAGAGCAATCCAGGCTTCAATCTCAGCATAGGTCGAAATGATATCTTCAGATTGTTCAACCCAGTTTCTCCCCACCAGTGAAGCAGGTCGGAGGGAGCAGACTGGGTAAAAAGCTTAGTACAGCTGTTCTGGCAAAATTACCTTCATTACACACTGCATGGCGTTGCTGATCTTCATTAAGTTGCAGAAGAGTAGGATGTAAATTTCATTTGATTTATTGTCCTGATGCCAAACATTAACTCTTTTGAAGATCACGGTGGTTCCTGATTGACCAATAAAAATATATTTGCTTGTGAATAATTCAACAAGGACATCCTTGCCATTTTCAACCTGCAGTTGACATGGAAAAAGCACTGGCTGAGCCACAGGGGGCCCATCATAGCCCCGAAGGCCAGTTTTTCGGGCAAGGCATTAAAAAAAATTTTTTTTTAAACGGCCCGATTTTTTTTTTTTTTTTTTATTATTTAAAAATGAAATCATATCTTTGCCCGAATATCCTATACTATAACTGTATGTTTTTAAATTGATAGCCCGTTAGTATTCTCGTATAATAATATTTCATAATTTATATTATTTAAGGATCGAAATCACTGCCCGAATGTCATTCGTATGATGAAAATCTCACCCAACATCAGGTGAAAACAGTACATCCCGTAAATTAAACTGAATACTTGTGGATCTCCTAAGGGGGGTAGTATCATGTGTTCTAGAAAGAGTGAAAACTAAGTTCGGGCAACCTCAGATATCTCGCCCCTCCCTGGGACGTAAACCTGGCTCCACCACTGGGAAAAAGTGCAGTTGGTATGGGACAGTAAACTGAGGCCCTGTGTCCTATTTCCCTGTACATGTCAAAGATCCCTTGGTTAAGAGTAAACTAGTGCTGCTGTCTTGGTAAAATTTCCCTCAATACACACTGCATGGAGTTGTCTGTCTTCATTAGTCCAATGAGATGCTGAAAAGTAGGGGTAAAGCTCAGTTTCATTTAACACATGTGTAACTTTTTCATTACTGGCATGTAATGATAGTTTTTCAATATCAATTTTTTTTTTGCAGGTTGTTGTTGAAAGATGTTGCTATGGTAAGACATTAAAAGAGGAAGCAGTTGAAGATGGAGAGATCATCACCTTATCCACCAGATCCTGAACGTTTGGATCCAGATAGTCTCCATAGGAATGGTAACTATGGACTAAATAGCTACTCCACAGTGGACACGAATCATAAAAATAGTTTTCCCGAGAGTCGGCCGCGGTCGTACGGTAACGAACACTATACTGGCAATTCCTATCAAGTGACTCCAAATTACCATTATGGGTACCCCCACAGCTTCACGCCTGATGCTCATAGAAGTCCTTATGACTCTGTGCCCTATACAGACAGCCTCAATTCATTGGAACGTCCAGATTTGTATCGCCCAAGGTCTGCAGATCCCTCACATTCCTTCGGTCATTACGATTACTCTGGTCATCATTCAGCACATTTTCGCCCAGCCGGTTACCATGACGATCCTAGCTACCGCCCTGTCCGAGATCAGTATTTTAGTAGTGACACCAAACACATTTTACCAGAACCCAAAACAAATTACCCATTGTATGAGGAAGCTAGAATGACTTTTCAAGAAAGACCGTACTCAACGAATTCTGCAGCAGTCCCAGAATACAGCAGTAAAGCATCAGATATAAGCTCTGAGATTTTGACTTCTGCCGATTTGAGGAGTCCGCATTCTGTTCCTGCGACTTTGGCATCGAGAGATGTGGACGCTTCCATCCTAGACACTGAACCCAAGAAAATTCCTGAAAGCATGTTTGAAATGTCAATTGATCACCCACGAGAGAGTCTGCCGTCTGGTGCCGAGTTGGAAGTTAACAGTCGTCCTTTGCTTGATACAGATCCTTTGGATTTGAGGAAAACTGAAAACTGGACGGACTCTGGTGCATATACAACAGATAATACTGAATGTACATCAGTTTCAGTTGACTCTGACAAAGAAGTGATGAAAAAATCAGAGTTGGACGTTACTGATTATATCGCAGACAAACCAAAAGCAAGCCACACTGAAATTTTAGGGGACGTTTTCAACAATCACAGTACTACAGACAACATTCAACCCTCAGAAGCTGTTGCCTTGATTATAAAAGATGAACTTCCTACCGAGAAGGTTTTGAAAGCAGATACAAATACAGAATCAGAACCTGAAGTTGAAATCATTGGCAAAAAGAAAAAAGCAGTGGTGGAGGCAGAGATGAAAATTAACCAAGAAAAGGAGGCAAAGAAATTATCTGAAGCAGCCAATGCCTCACCAGAGGAGAAACTTAAGTCTCGACGGAAATCCAAAACTCCTGTTAAAGAGTCTGAGAATGAATTAAGCAAATCGAAAACAGATGAAGATGATGATGATGATGATGATGAAGTTTTCCATTGTGGATTTTGTGGTGAAATTTTCCATGATGAGGATCTTCTGGTGCAGCACGACTGCCAGAATGAGGACATGGATTCAGAAGATAGTGAGGACAGTGAGGATGAAGAGGAGGATGAAGTAGAAGAGGAAACAACTGCCAGTGTGACATCAGCATCTACATTGAAAAAGGTCAATACTGACACTAAAGAAGATGCTGATACGCCAGTGCGGCGTTCGGCTCGGAAGAATAAAGCTCAGATCCACATCAAGGAAGTGGAAGATGAGGAAGAAGAAGAAGATCCGTATATTTGTGGAGAATGTGGACAGACGTTTGATAAGGAACGACTTTTGTTACGGCACGTCAAAACTCATCGTAGCTCGGACATTGAAGATTATGTGGAATCAGAAACAACAGCACCAGCTAGATATGCAACACGAAGTCGCATTAATCGTCCAAAACGTAAAGCAACCAAACGTAAAAGCTATGACTATGATGCAGAGGAAAGTTTCATTGAACAACCAAGTCGCAGCAAGCGGAGAAAAGAACCAGTTGTAAAAATCAAAGAACCAAAAGTGCCTGAGGATACACGAAAGTATGGTTGTGCTATCTGTGGTGAAATTAGCACAGGACGCGATAAGATTGCTCAACATCTAATAGATCACTGTACAGAGATGTCCAGTAACGATAAAGTCTGGAACTGTGAATATTGCGAAAAATCTTTCTCGGATGAAAATTTCTTAGATCGGCACGTTGACATTCATGAACTAAACGGTGACCAGAAGCTGGTGAAAATTGAACCACAGAGCAAGAAGGATTTGAAGAAGGATTCAACGATCGGGAAAGTGAAGCAATATGAATGTGTGACTTGTAACCAGGTTTTCAAGTTGAAGAACGAGCTGAAAGTTCATGAAAGGATTCATAATGAAACCAGAAAGTATTTATGTGTTGTTTGTGGAGAGGAATCAACTGGTAAAGAAGCATATTTAAGACATAAGAAAACGCACAAAACTCCAAAATCATACGCTTGCGAGGAATGTGGTGATACTTTTAATCTACGAAGTCTCCTTAACCAACACATGAAGTCACATGGACTCAAAACCTCGTTTGATTGCGAACAATGTAATCGTTCTTTTTTCAGTGCCGGACATTTAGCCATCCATAAGAAGGGACATAAACATGCCGGCACGAAAAAACATCGTTGTCAAGAGTGTGGATATCAAGTGTACAGTGAGGCCAAGTTGATGGAACATTTAGAAACGCATATTAATCAAGACCCGTTTATGTGTCCGTTCTGTGGCCGACTTTTCATGAAGAAAAGCACATTTACAAAACACAAGAAGAAGCACAGTGGACAGAATATGTGTGATGTGTGTGGAAAGGCCTTCAGTCATAAATCAGGACTCGATCGCCATTATACAACCCATTCTGGTGAAAAATCATTCAAGTGTATGTATTGCGATAAATCGTTTTCTCAACAAAGTAATTTGTCCACACATCTTAGACAGCATTCGGGAGAAAAACCCTTTATGTGTGAAATCTGTGCTCATTCGTTCACCAATAAATGTTCTCTGGTACGTCACATGACCAAACATACTGAAGGGGAGTCGGAGATGCAAGCAGCAAGTATGGCGCGTCAAGGAGCAATTGGTGGATTGAATAATATTAATATTCCTTTACCACCCCTCCCTAACACCATCTCTCATGGCATGTACACCCTGAACCAATTTCAGTTTTAAAACATTTCATTAGTATATCTATCAATTTACAATTCATAATCTTATCTTTTTTTATATTTTTGTCTCGATTGTAATCTGACAAGTTTCCTTCTACAGTTGTGTTCTAGTTAATATGTCAAAGACTGTCATATAGAATCCATTTGTTGATAACATAATGAATTGTGGGATTGTTTAACCTGCAGAGAGTGTCATATTGCTCTACTTTGGGTTTGGCTATTACTAAATTGGTCATTGTTATTTTAACCTATCAAAGCATGTTTCTTGATTGGTTAAAATAACTTCATTAGAAACGTCTGTGGTTGAAATTCGTTCGATTACAATAGAGAAGAAAAAAAAGAAAGACACATAATTCTATTTTATTTAGAGTGTATATATATACTGGCGCTACTGGTATGTATTCAGTTGGTTGCCATGGCTACGGAAAATCAAATTTTTCAATTATAATATGCTTTGCGACATTGCTTACTTTGTTCCCTTTTGTAGCAAAATATTTATTTGGATTGATTTTTAGGTTGGATAAATGTTAGTTTGTATCGAAAAATATACATTATTGCTAGGATGTACTAATTGAACTGTCTTAAAGTTGGGTTTCCTTATATTTTTTAGTGTCAAATTAAGCAAACTATTTGATTAATTGATGTTTCTAATGAATTATCATATATTCTTAATCATATCATTATGTTCTTATTGCATATAATTAAGAGTTTTAACCAATCATAAATGTCTGTGTATGTACAGTCTGGATAAACAAAAAAAGACTTTTTGACCTTTCTTGATCGGTCACTCATCGGAATTCTGCTGGTAATTCTCTTCTAATTTAGCTAATTATGAATTAATTATGGACATGTGAGACAAACTGGTATTTTTTCCAAGTCATAAGAACACCTCTACTTTCTATTCATATAAGTATTAGCATTTTCATTTTCATAAATGAAAATAAGGGAACCCATCTTTAAGGTGGAAATAGATGATGTAGGTGTCCAGGATGATGGATACAGTAGAGTATAGAACAAGTGTACACTCAAGGTACAGGACTGAACATGGTGCAGACAGGATTCCTTACTACTATTTTCTACTGTTTCAATACACCAGACTCTGTATATTGTCTAAGTCAATCCAACAAAAAACATTGAATTTGTCCAATGACTTAACAGAATCATTTTTGATCAATTCTCACATAGCCAGATGCTGTGGATGTATTCTTCTAAGGGATTGTAAAGAGATTTTCTAGCCTCTTTATGTGTATCTGGGAGACCTTTGACTTCCATTTGGTACATTCCAATTCTTCATCCAGTGTTATCCCCCCACTTACAAGATGGCCGCATTTCTAACTTAAAATTGTCACCATCTTGTAAGGGGAGATAACATATATTATTATATTACTGTGGTCTGGTGTTAGGTTGGTTACTAATTCTCGTACTGGAGCTGTGTCATTTCCGGTTAACTCTTTCTGGAATTGCAGGAACCACAGGCATCCGACGAGGAATTGGAATGTCTCAAATAGAAGTCAAAAGTTTCCTTGATACACATAAAGAGGCTAGAAAACCTTTGTACAATCCCTTTAACACAGTTTTATTGGTGAAGAAGTCGTATTTGATTGGACCCTTCGTGAAGGTAGTTATTTTGACCAATGAAATGCATTGTCTTAAATGCAGTTACAAGTAACCTACTACTTCATTGGTCGAAAATAATTTCATGACCAAGATTTGACCATATCTGCCAGCAATTTTGTGCTTCAGTCATGAATGGCTGGCAAAAAATACCATACCATGCCCTCTCTATCGAGGTAGCTCGGCCATTAGGGTAGGGTCAGTGGGGGCTGGGCCCCAGCAAGTGAGAATTAAGACCCAGCTAAACCTTCTTCAGTTCAGCAGAGATTGATTCATTTACAGTGTTTTTGTACAAAATCAAAAAGATATAGATTTTGATACGTTTTTGGCAGCTCAAAATTCTCAGAAATGAGTTCTCTGACTCTTGGCATTTATTAATTCTTCAAAATCTGAGCCCCAGCACCAATTCACTCCTGGCAACGGGACTGAATCAAACCTGTTTTGTTATTGTTACTGTTTGTATATTGTATATTAAAATTAATTTTGATTTAAAACCTGAATATTAATATTAATTAAACTCAATGGAATTATTTTAAATTTTTAATGATTTATTTATGGAACTAAGATTTTAAAGAGATTGTAAAAAGGTTTTTCTAAATTTTTTATGTATATCCTGGACACTGATAGTATCAATTTACGTCATTCTAATTTTCAATCAGTAATTTTTGTTGCTAAAATTCGTGTAAACTATAAACCAAAATCTAGAGAAATGTACCCTTTAACGTATCTGAAAGTTTTAACTAAAAAAATCCAGCCGTTAATTTTTAAACACCAAAAATATTTAAAAACATTACGTAAGGTTTTTAAGTTCGTTATGTTTTTTGAAAGCTGTTAGAAAACTATTGTACGGATTTGAGTAAAATAAACGCTTAATTGTAGAGAAATATATCTTCTACGTATTCTAAAGATTTTAACTAATAATATCAAGCCATTATAAAACCAAACACTGAAACTAGGTCAAACTGCTTAATTAACAATTAGTACTCTCTGTTTTTAATCAACCCTTTTAAAACAATTTCAGTTTGATCAAGTAGATACATAGATATAAACAACATACTTTAGAAATATTTTCAGGTATAATTTACAACGTTTTTGAAAATGAAAACTTTTTACAAAAAAGTGTCAATGAAGTATATAGTTCGTCACAGCCGCAAAAGCTGATTATAATAACTGACTAATGGGCTTGTGCAATATTGACATCATAAAACACTTTAGTTTTAGGGGAATTACAGGAACCACAGACGTCAGATTGAAAATTATAATGGTACAAATTGATGCTTTCAGTGTCCCTGATACACGTAAAAAATTTAGAAAACCACTTTACAATTCTCAAGTTAAAATTTATTTCTTGAGCCATGTTCTTTTAACTAAGTTTATCTGGAAAATTGAATTTTGACTTTTCTGTTATTTTTTACTTCATTTGTAGACAAACTTCATGCAGTATTTGTATAAATTGTGAAGTGATAAGGGCTATATCTGTAGTTTTTTGTGAAATATGTCACTGCCACTGAAGGCATGGATAGTTTTATCTTCACAATGTCTAGCTATTACAAACTCTGTCTTATACCTTGACACTATTAGGTGCTTTTCTTATGTCATGAAAATTTGTAAATGCTGTGATTTGATTTGATTGTTTGCTAGCTGATGCAGCCAATCAGAACCCTGGATAGAAAGACTGTAAACTAGTTTGTTTCTGCCATTGTGGACGCCATTTCTATAATTGTGTTTTATAACAAGACATTTGATTGGCTATATATTCTAGTCTCAATTCGAAGATAAATCATATATCTTAAAGATGGGTTTCCTTATTATTTTAGTGTCAAATTAAGCAAACTATTTGATTAATTGATGTTTCTAATGAATTATCATGTATTCTTAATCATATCATTATGTTCTTATTGCATATAATTAAGAGTTTTACCAATCATAAATGTCCATGTATGTACAGTCTGGATAAACAAAAAAAAAAGCTTTTTGACCCTTCTTGATCGGTCACTCATTGGAATTCTGCTGGTAATTCTCTTCTAATTTAGCTAATTATGAATTAATTATGGACATGTGAGACAAACTGGTATTTTTCCAAGTCATTAGAACACCTCTACTTTCTATTCATATAAGTATTAGCATTTTCATTTTCAAGGGAACCCATCTTTAAAGCTTGCTTATTACAATTTTCAAAAGAGAAAAGTGCCTATTGATGTCAAGGTATTGTGAAGATAGAATATATGTAGATCCCAATGATCCATTGTTGTTATTTATTTGATTTTGTTTGATGTTATATTTGTTTATTTGTTTGTTTATCATAATATCTCTACATATAGCCATAATATTTTATACATATAGAAATATACACCAACTGAATTTCCCCCTTGGTCTGTGCTTTTGTAATTTCAATTATATATTGTTTTTACAACCTCCTTCACCAATGATCCTCAGACTTGTCATGTTTTATTGATTACAAATTTTCTAGTAATCAGCTGTAATTGATTACAAATTTTCTAGTAATCAGCTGTAATTGATTACAAATTTCCAAGTAATCAGCTGTAATCGATTAAAAATATTGAAGTAATCAGCTGTAATCAATTACAAATATTTAAGTAATCAGCTGTAATCAATTACAAATAATTAAGTAATCAGCTGTAATCAATTACAAATAATTAAGTAATCAGCTGTAATCAATAACAAATAATTAGGTAATCAGCTGTAATCGATTACAAATATTTAAGTAATCAGCTGTCATCAATTACAAATAATTAGGTAATCAGCTGTAATCAATTACAAATATTTAAATAATCAGCTGTCATCAATTACAAATTTCAAGTAATCAGCTGTAATCAATTACAAATATTTAAGTAATCAGCTGTAATCAATAACAAATAATTAAGTAATCAGCTGTCATCAATTACAAATTTCAAGTAATCAGCTGTCATCAATTACAAATTTCAAGTAATCAGCTGTAATCAATTACAAATATATAAGTAATCAGCTGTAATCAATTACAAATAATTAAGTAATCAGCTGTAATCAATTACAAATAATTAAGTAATTAGCTGTAATCAATTACAAATATTTAAGTAATCAGCTGTAATCAATTACAAATATTTAGGTTATCAGCTGTAATCAATTACAAATAATTAAGTAATCAGCTGTAATCAATAACAAATAATTAGGTAATCAGCTGTAATCGATTACAAATATTTAATTAATCAGCTGTAATTGATTACAAATTTCTAAGTAATCAGCTGTAAT